CAGAGGGGAGAGAGAGGAATGAGGGATGAAGTAGATTCCTGCAGAGGGAAGAGAGGAATGAGGGATGAAGTAGATTCCTGCAGAGGGAAGAGAGAAATGAGGGATGAAGTAGATTCCTGCGGTGGGAAGAGAGAGGAATGAGGGATGAAGTAGATTCCTGCAGAGGGAAGAGAGGAATGAGGGATGAAGTAGATTCCTGCAGAGGGAAGAGAGGAATGAGGGATGAAGTAGATTCCTGATGTTACCTGGTTCTACAGTGATGACCATGCGTGGCTGCAGCGTGCGCACAGTGCGTAGCGACTTCAGCCCCGGTGCGTCGATGCGCTCGGTTCCCGGCGGGTAGCCTCCCACGTCGTGTGTGTCGCAGCCCATGAAGTGTCCGAGGCCGTGCGGCATGAACAGCGCCCCCACGTGAGCGGCCAGCATCTCCTCCACGTCTCCGCGCAGCAGCCCCGCATTACGCAGCTCCTCCACCTGGATACGGTCTGCCAACCTGCAAGTCAGCGCAGAGATCAGCACGCTGATGCCGCCTAGCAGGGGGCGGGCGCGGACGCACGCCGGGGACGTGGCGCCACCTAGCAGGGGGCGGGCGCGGATGCACGCCGGGGACGTGGCACCACCTAGCAGCAGCTGGGGACGTGGCGCCACCTAGCAGGGGGCGGGCGCGATAACGCCACGCCGACTCGATCGATTATAGTATTACAGCCAGATAATTGTGAGTGTGTGTGAAGGTTGCTCTCACCTGTGCATGTCCACCCAGCTTACTCCCGGCTTACAGGCAGCAATCACGGCTCGACTGGACCGAAGCACGGCGTTGTAGATCAGCTTCTGATCCTCGGTGAATTTACCATTCGCTTAACGGAACGAGAGAGAGATAGATAGAAAGAGTTAGCATGTACAGTACGCACGGCTGTGGCTTGGCTGTGTGCGTGCGTGCGTGAGTCTACAGGGAGCAGGACTGCTTGGCTGTGTGTTTATATACAAGGGGCAGGGCTGCTTGACTGTGTGTGCGTGTGTGTGTGTGTGTGCGTGTGGCGTGCGTGCGTGTGTGTGTGTGTGCGTGTGGTGTGCGTGGTGTGCGTGTGTGGTGTGCGTGTGGTGTGCGTGCG